CATATCGGTGCTCAGCACGTATCGGACACCGCTGCGTCTTCGACACATTGCCAACGCCTGTCGGAGGTTCCTTGTTGCGTGTTGGAGACGAAGAAATGCGGGCAGCTAGAAGAAAATAGAAAGACCCAGGAAGAAAAGAAGAAAATGATGTGAAGAAAAGAAGAACAGAAATCAGGAAGAGAAGAAGTGACGGCTGACCTAAAATCTATTAAAATGTAGCCCCTATTTGGCCCCCATTAATTTTCATTACATGACATTCTATTTTTCTCTTATTTTCAATCACACTATCTTCCATAAAATAATATTACAAGTAAATAAAAAACTTTTTTTTCTTTTTCAATCACTCATTTTTCAAAAAATGCTATTCCACCCATTTCATTTCCAAAAAATGGGGGCCAAACAGAAGCGTAATTTTTTAATTCAAATTGTAGGGTCCAATTTGCCCAAAACATTAAATGCTCTGTAAACTATCTTTTCCTAGTATGTAGTTGATAGACTTTCTTTTACAATTTTACCCTTTAACAAAGCAAAAGGAAGACTTTTATGTGGATCAAGTTTTTTACCATTTAAGAAACATGTTTGATAATCTCAAGTTTTTTGTTATTTAATTATTTATCTATATGATAAAATAAGTATAAAAGATATTACTTTAGACTATTAAGTTATAAAATTTTAAAAATAATATTTTAATTAATGTGCCCACAACATATCATGCCGAAACTTTTTCAAAAAATCATGTGTCAATGTGCGTGTAGATACTACTAAGCAGGCCATGATGCCACCAAGATGAAACCTACTATAAGAGCTTCTCCAAGAAACTATTTTTAAAGAACATATTTTACAACTTAGAAAATATTTGTAAATTTAGAGAGCAAAAATTTTTATCGGACTCTTATATATTTAATATTTAATTTTACCACTCTCAAAAAATAATTATTATTTTTCCATGGCTTTTATATTAATTAGCTTCCATCCAAATTATTATATTAATTTTCTTTATTGAAAATTGAAATATTTTGAATACATTTATTTATAAAAAGTGGGTTTGACTCTCTAATTTGGAGAACCAAACTTACTCTCTGTTAGTAGTACTTAAATCAGTTATCATTCTCGCCCTCCGCAGCCATCATTCTATACATGGTGCATGATCCAAAAACCCCCTACTACCACTCCTAAACACTAAAAAGAATGATATAAGTCCAAATGGGAACCGCCAACAAAAGAGGTTTCTGAAGCAAATTTCAGTTCAAGCCACTCTGAATTACCCCACCTTAGAAATAGGAAGACAGTTGTATTCTTCTAGGTCTAGACAGGAAATAAGTAACTTACCTCGTCTTTCCACATTCACGCGAACTCCTTTGAGATGCCTTCTCCAGGACACCTTTGTAATATTGAGTAAATGGAGCTTGGGGACTGGGCTTTTCAAGCTGCACGTGAACCATCAATTTAAATTAGATCAATTACATTCCTTAATTCACAGAACTATAGGCAGTTGATTTCAAACTGTACAAACCTGAAGAAACGAGTCTACAGATTGGTAATCATTTGGTGAAAAAGGCACCTCATCTCTTTTTCTCTGTACAAAGTCCACATTCTGCTCCACCTGCAGATACAATGGTGCAAAATACACCAAGTCAAGGACCAAAAAAGAACCGAACATGGTGAGGGAGTAAATATGAACTAGAAATTGATATGGAGAAGTATACCATCGGAAGAACAATCCTCATGATTGTCATGTTTGATTGCATAAAAGGAAACAAGTTTTGAGCTTTAAAAGATATGAGATGAGCAAGAAAATATTTCTTCACTCTTCAAAACATGTGAGATTGAAAATCTGTAGAAGATTATGTGATAATATGGTCTAGGTTGAATAATATTACTTTTCTTTTATTAGTAGTCCATTTATAAATACAGCTGCAAACTTGTTAATATTATTAGCAAGCATATGAAGAATGTCATAAGACTTAAGAGTTTTGTAATTAATCTTATAATCTTTAGTACAGAATAACTTGAGTTAGAATAGGACATGAATTTTGTTAAATTGTTAATGGTATTTAAGTGATTTTACTTGTCAAATTTAACATTTTCTCAGATATTTTGAAACTATCATCCCAGTTGAGGTCAAAATAAGTAACTTGCTTAGAAATATGGACTAACAACCTGTGGCCGTGAAATTAAAACCATCAAATGGATATTCAGCTTTTTTGCTTGTTTAGGAAGAATAAAATTATTCAGAAACAGAGTTCAATTGATTGCTTCCGAGTTAAGATGGTGATTTAAATCCTTGCTAGCCATACTAAGAGTTTTGAGGACTTAAATGGCTATTCTTTTGGTCCCTTAGCATAAATTTTGACTATATCAGTTGCACTGCGCTTTATTTTCTGGAGACATAAATGACTCAACAAAAACGTGGATTGTTGCATCAGACAGAATAAAGCAAAAAATAACTAGTACCTGATCAATAAAATGCTTCACCATACGCCGGAGATTTTCAGCCAGGGTAATCTCATGAAACTTTCTCAAACGAATTAGTGAAGTAGCTGCTAGCTC